GAGCCGAGGGAGGCCCAGCGCCTCCCGCATCCGCACGTGCTCAGGCGCCTGGACTGGGGAGCCTCGGGGAGGAGCCTGCCGCCTCCTGGAGCTCCCGCCCCGTCAAACCCGGGGACTGTGTGCGTTCATCTGAGCACCGGGTGGAAGTTCCCTCGGGAGAGCGCAGTCGAGCCCCTTATTTCCCTCATTACAATCAGGGGGGCTGCATGGAACCCCCGGGGTAGGTCAGGGGGCGGGGCCTCTGGGATGCGATGAAAGTAAGATGACTGACACATGCACCTTCCACATGAGTGGGTCTGGGTGAGGCCGGCAATTAACGCAGCAGCGAGAGGGCTCCTGGTCGGCCCCGGTGTGTGGGTCGGCCCTGGGGTCTGGAAAATGAGGAGTTACCTTGACATTTCGAAGGCACGTTATCTGAGATGCAAAAGGCAATGAACTGGCCAGTGAAGGTCAAGATTGACCTTGCAGAGGGGATTCTAGCCTGGGACTGGACGACCGGCCATGAACAGCTTTCAGTTACCAAGTTTCCATTCCACACCCTCCCATGGGGTGGCCTTCCGTCTGCGTTTGTAAGGCCGCCCCGCAGGCCTCCCCCAGCTTGTGGGTTTAGTTGTGGCCCCTTTTCACCCACGGTGGGAACAGAGTGCCCACGCCCAGCCACCTTCCTCCGAAGGAGTCGCCCTTGCAAGACCATGGCCCCAGGCAGGGAGCCCCTGTGGCTGGGGCAGGGGAGGTAAGTGTGGTGGGCAGAGCAGGGGCGAAGGTCAGGAGGTCACCAGGTAGAAAGCTCCCTGTGGTAGCCCGTAGGGCGGGACCTCGCCCCCAGGGGACCTCTCCTCCCCTAGCATCTCCCTGGGCCTGAGGGTGGGACCCCCTGACCTGTCTCCCTACAGATGACATGGTGGACGGAAGGGGCCACCTGCTGACCTGACAGCTCAGGGGAGGCCTGCGTGGCGGCCCTGCAAACTCAGACCTACGTGACCACAGAGGATGGTCTGCGTTAAACTTAAACTAAAGCAGTGATGGTGGGTGTTAGGTCGAAAGGCGGTCCAGGAGCAGATGCCTGCCTCCGCCAGGCAGGTGGTGACGCAGATACTGGGCCCTTCCTAGGATCCGCAACAGGCCAGGGCACCAGGGAGACGGTGACTCAGATACCGGTCCCGCCCTGGAATTCCTAACAGGTCAGCTACCAGACAGATGACACCTGGAAAAACCGTGACGACCCCGTGGCGGGAACTCCCACAGCTCATGCTCCCCGCCCTCACTGAACAGCCGTATAAAAAAAGCGCCCCCTCCCTGTTGGCGTGGATCCACGTGCCCTGTCTTTGGGGTTCGTGGGTCACCTGGGGACGCAGAATAAAACCGCTCCTTTCTTCCTTTTCTCATCAACTCTCTTTATTTCCTACGCCGCCTCCTGAGCCACCTAACCTAACAGTGGGCAGTTATGTCCTAGGCCGGTATCTTCACTGACAAGGTCAAGCTTGGCCTTCACTGAGCCTGTCTGTCTTTTTGCATCTATGATAACACACCCTTGAAATGTCTGGGTCACGTGTAACTTCCCTTTTTCTGGAGCCCCTGGGGCACAACCAGATGTGCTGGGCGCCAGGACAGAGACCACCAATCCCTTCACTATCATGTTAATTGATCCTGCACCCACCTAAGCATGTGTTAATTGTTCCTGCACCCACCTAAGCATGTGTCCGTCATTTCACTTTTTATCCAATCCCGGGGGTTTCCCCACTTGGCTTGCTCCCGCCCCTCTAGTCTATCACCAATAGATTTCATGAGACCCACCTACGCCCCTCCTTCGATTAAAATGTATAAATACGATGTAACCCCCGTTCTCCGGAGCATCATCTCAATTTGTTGAGGTTCTGCCTCCCGGCATTTGTCAACAGTTTGGCTCAAATAAACTCACAACAATTCTTTACAGGTTTCCAAGGTTTTATGTTAACAACACCTAGGCCGCAGTTGTGTTTCAGCTCCAGGCCCAGAAAAGCAGTAAAACCAGACCAGCGACAGGACTAGCCCGGCCGGCACGGCACCAGGTGTCTGACCTGCCTGAGTTCTGGCTGAGAAAAAATTCAGAGCCGAGACTCAAGCTGGAAGGGTTCCTGGGCGAGCAGAGAGAAAGGACCCCTGAGGAGAGATTTCGGGGCGTGGGCGGGGCTCCTAACCCCTCGGAGGGGTGACTGCTTTCTCCTGCACACTGACCCACGGGTCTGCCGGGTCCTCACCTCCAGCCCCGGTTCTGGAAGGGCAGGGTCTGCACAGGACACCCCGAGGCGGGGAGAGGTCAGAAGGACCCCACCTGCGTGCCCGGGGCTGCCGGGGGGGAGGGTCTGAGGGGCCCGGTCCTGATGAGCAGTGTCTCCAGGACTTGCTCTCCCTCTCCCTTCCTTGGCCAGTGGTCCGGCCCGTCCGCCCTGGCAACCTTCCAACTGGCCCATTGTCCTGGCTCTGCTCCCGTCGGCCTCACTGCAGCCCCAAGTGGACACCGAGACCCTGGGAGGCTGCGATGTCCTCCTGAGACCATCCCCCAGGACCTCCCCTGACGCTAAACCCTCAGGAGGAGGACCCCCTCCCCCCCCTCTCCTCCCACAGGCGTTTACCGTCAGCTTCCGCTTCCCCAGCCCCAGGGCCCTTCCTTCGCCTCCAAACCTGTTTCCTGAGCCCATTTCTCCTGTGGTTTCCCCAGGGGACGTTCCCTTATGGTCTGGGCTCTGAATTCTGCCCCAGCCAGAACCCGAGGACCGGGGTTGCCGAACCAGGTCCGGGCAGACCCCTCGGGTCAGACACCGGTGCCGTTCCCACACCCACACCAGAAGGAGCCCTGCGGGGTCCGAACTGCATGGGCCGGTGGCTCCGAAAGCTGGGCCACGGGGCCCCTGCTCGGGGCGGGGGGTCTCCAGGGCGGTGCCGGCTGCGGTGCGGACTCCCGGGGAGCGGGCTTTGGACTGGGGGGTGTCGCCGTAGCCCAAGCCCCGTGTGAGGAAGGGGAGCCCGGGGCCAACAACAGAGTTTAATTCTGAATCGGAGCCGAAGCGGGGGGCGGCCCAGGTGGCTCCAGGGGTGGGGGGCCGCCCGGCTACTTGGGGGGCACCTTCTTGGACTTGCTGGACGACGAGAACACCTCCGCCATCAGCAGCGGCGACTCATCACTTTCCCTCACCCTTTCTTCTCCTCCCTCCCTCCTCCTCTCCCTCCCATCCATCCCCTCCCTCCCATCCATCCCCTTTCCAACCCCCCTCTCATTCTCTTCCATTTTTCCTCCCTCCCCCTTTCTTTTTCTCCCTCCCTCCCTCCTCTATTTGTCCTCTCCCCTCCCCACTTCCTTCCCTTAGTCCAAACGGTACCCAGGCCCAGAGGCCTCTGCCCAGGCCCCACACAGGGTCTCCCACTCCCCTGAGGCCTGTTGCCACCTGACAGGAGCACCATTGACCAGCGTCCCCATCCATCCCCTTTCCAACCCCCCTCTCATTCTCTTCCATTTTTCCTCCCTCCCCCTTTCTTTTTCTCCCTCCCTCCCTCCTCTATTTGTCCTCTCCCCTCCCCACTTCCTTCCCTTAGTCCAAACGGTACCCAGGCCCAGAGGCCTCTGCCCAGGCCCCACACAGGGTCTCCCACTCCCCTGAGGCCTGTTGCCACCTGACAGGAGCACCATTGACCAGCGTCCCCTCCTCGCCCCCCCCCCCCATTTGGAGGGGAGGGGCAAGGCCTCCAGGAACTGAGAGTGCTAGAAGGCCAAGGC